CCATCTTCCAAAAGGATTCTTGAATGAAAGCACTTGTCTATGGGTTCCAACAGCCAAATATTTCAACTAGAACTTAATTTACATACACCTTGGGAAGACCGCCTCCACGCAGTGTGGCTTCCCAGCTCTTTCTTTGCGGCTCTCTGTACTGAAGAGTCTCGGAAGCGTCCTTCTCCCTGGGAGGGGGTCACACTCCTCTCTGCCTCCCCACCGGGACGGGGCTGATTCCCACTACCTTCAGAGGAAGACCTGCCCTTGAAGCGTGTCAATAAGGCGAAGGAGAGCTACGTTTTACCCAGCGGTTCATTCTGAATGTGACCCAACAACAACCCACCGGTCGTTGTGGACCACTGGCCTGGCCACCTTCCCCGTGGAACTGACAGAGAACCCCAAATGCTAAATTTTAAGACAGAAATTTAAAGTTGGGATAGCTTTCCTTCTTTTCAAATAGTCCTTACAGAAGGAACAAAGTAAGTGTGCTAGACAGCGGCTTTGGAGTCAGAGAGGCCTCGGGTTAAATCCTGGCTCTCCCACTTACTAGCTGTTTGCTTTAATTTACTTAACTTCTCAAAGCCTCAGTTTCCTCTCCTGTAAATGGAACTAAAATCATCAACATCATAAGGGGTATCTGAATCCAAGCTGATGATTCAGGCTTGTTCCTACAGGGAGATCTCAGAATGCACAAAAGTTACTGTCAAGAAATAAACAATAAATCAGATGTAGATGCCACCCCCCAAACATGTTAAAGTCTGTTGAAGGTCAGATAGAAGACAGCTATTCACTTCTGGGGGAATAAATCCAAGGAAGTGAGTGATGATGTACAATAAAAGTGGAAGACAAAGGCATTCTAAAAATGGCAAACATAGACCCTACGTGTCTCTACAGTTGCTGAAATAAGAAGAGAGGTTTTGGTGGTGTGCTGAGCAGAGCCCATGGGAGGATGAGGTCCCATGACGTGTAAGGAGCATGGCTTAGTGCTGGGAGCGTCCCCACCCGGCGAGGGCTCCTCTGGGGGATGCTCTGCTCCCTGCAGGCCCTCCCGGCGGGTCATCAGCCCGGACACCCCGAGAGCAGCAGTGCAGTTTGCACCGTCTCGGCTGTTGCACGGAGTGAACTAAGGGCAGGAGAGTGGTTCTTGCACTTGACAAGCAGACATCATTTCCTTTGAATGCAAGAGGATTCAAGAATCTACAGAACATACTCAACTAATCACTATGAAGCTGAATTAAAAATCACAGCCCAGGTTCTAAAAATGGCTCCACTGCAACTACACTTTCTGAAGAGCATCCAGAGACGCAAAGATGAGGTCAGTATGACCTCTCGCTAGGTCACCCGGCACGGTCTCCCGGCACAGGGCATCGAGACAAGATGGCTTGCAGCAGGTAGAGCCTAAAGGGGGGAGCGTACGCCCGAGTCCTGACCTCCACTCTGCGTCCTGGCTGTACCGTCAGTCCCCAGACACTAAGTTATCCTCGGCACCAAAACCTGAGACTAACCTTAATAAGGGCCTAAGGTGCTTCTTCACAGAGTTAAACTCAAAGTGCTCAGGTGACTGTTTCTCATTAAGGACCCTCTCATCATCAATACGTTGGGTCATACCTATAAATGAATTTTTAATGAATTACCAGTAAGTGTCAGCCACCATAACACAGATGAAACTATGTGAAAAACGTGATCTCTACAAAGAGGCTTGTATTTTATTTTCAAGATACTGTCATGGGGAATATTAATTACCACCACAAAGAGCTATGTTAACAGTCCCACAATAAACTCTGCTTCTTCTATTCATTTCTCTTCCTACTTATAAGCATTTCACAGGTTTTCTTTCATCTTTTTTTCCCATTCCTAACCAACCTCATCACTTAGTTTGAAAAAAAATCCAGCCCTCACTGTTGTTTTCATTTTGACAATTATACAGATAATCGACTCATCTTTGCATCTTACTAGGGTGTGGAACTTTTCAAATTAATATAGTATTGGTGCATGATCCCATAAAGGATGGAGGAAGAAAGACTGAATATTTAACATTTGCAAAATCTTTTCAAAGTATGCGGTAGACAGTAGTGGTAACACGAGTAGCCTTGCCACTATGATGTAGAAAGAAAACACTTTATCACGTTCCCAGATTGCTCAGACTCAGAAGACCTGGTTAGGGAAATACATTTCTAACAACAGCGAGAAAAACAGGGTATAATTATTATATACGACTTTCAATTAGGAGTTACTCAGATTCCCTGGATTTCTCCCATGTATACGTGTTATTACATTTTGTGTGATTTTCTCTCTTTAAAAAAAAAAGACCTTCCAGAGGGAGGGTATAGCCCAGTGGTAGAGCATGTGCTTAGCATGCACACGGTCCTGGGTTCAACCCCCTAGTACCTCCATTAAAAAAAATTAGTAAATAAATCTATAAATAAAATAATAACGCCTCCCAAAAGACCTTCAATGAAGAGTTACTTCCAAAAATCACTTTATATTGCAATATGTGGGTTAATACACTTCTAAGGAGTCGAAGTATGGTATGTAAAGGCAAAAGGTATTAGGGAATTAAGAGAATTGTATTCAAATTTATATTCAATTTTAGTTTCCATTTTTTAATGTTTTCATTGGCACTTTATTAACTGGTGGAAATTTACAGCAACATTTTGACATCAGTCATGCCAAATCAGGTGTGAGAATGGATGTTTCATACTAGACCCACTATGTCCATGGATTAAGGGCAGAGCCAAGACGGAAGACGAAAACCTACGTCCGTTCGCTCACGCGGCGCGCACTTGCGCAAACCTGACTGTGTGCGGAGCTCTCCCTGACGTGCAATAGGGAATAAAAAGTAAGAAGACAAGGCTTGTCCTCGAGATGCTTGTAAGAAATGGTCAGAATCAATCAGGTGAAAGCGCTGGCTGATCAGCATGGACAGAACGTTCTCGCAAGAGAGACAAAGCTGACACCACATTCATGCTCTGAAGGAAGCCTGAAGGACGGTACCAGTACCCTCCGCAGACCGGGATGATGGAGGCCTTTCAGTGTCTATGCTTCTCTACCGTCTGGGTTTTTTCTTACAAGCAGGTATTAGTTTGTAACCAGGAACAAAAAATCAAAGTAAAACTCTTTCTACAAATCAACACTGTGAGTAAACAAGTGAACATACAATATCTGTTGACCTAGGTTGCTGGTGGCTTATGGGTGGACTTGTGTCTGTTTTAAAGTTACTTTGTTCTAAAAGAATTCTAATGCCATGTTTAATTCAACGATAAAAGAAGGTATGGAAAATTTAAGTTCTCTGACCTGAATAATCTGCTTGATTATGTATTAAGAGCAGAAGCAGCCTCACTGTCATTTTTATCTCTGGCTAAAGAGTGTGGCCGTGAAGAAAATTAAGGCATGTTCTCTATATGAGTTTTTCAAACCACTGTATGAGGTCCAGTCTGTCCAGGTTGAAAGTGATGGAGTAAAAGCCGTATCAGCGTGCTTGTAATGATAGATTTCATTCTCATCTATCAGGGTAACTCTCCTACCGTCATTAAAATGCAACACGGTCGTTTATGATTCCCTAATTTCCAAACATTTTCATATTGCTAATATACTGCCCTAGAAAAAGAGAAAATTAAAACAATCCCTGGCTACATTTCAGCACGTTTAAAAGCGTTAGCCTGAAAAGCATCTCAGCCTTGACCTTCGTGTTTCCAGAAGCCCCAGCCATATTAAATCCAAATGGAACCCTTCTTCACTTCAGCAAGTCCTGGTTACATCACTGACTATTTTTCAAATTCTGTAATCTTGTTTTCAGTGTCGCTCCAGGCTGAATCATTCTTTTCAGAAATGGCAGAGATTGTGGTATCTCTCTGGCTTATTTAATACAACTCAACTGTCACTTTAAGTGAAAAAACTCTGTTGGAGAATGAGAAATTTTCTGTTAGTGAGGGCTTATGTCCTTCTGGCCACGAACAAAAGCTGCCTGGTACTTGCTAACTCCATTTAAAAATTGTATTATTTTGAAAAGTTAATTGTAGGTTTCCAAGTACCCTTTAAGCACTGTTAAATTCATTTACTCGTTTTGCATGACAGCGGGGACCAGGAGTGGGGGGTGGTGGTGGTGACTGTGTGTCAGTCCCACTCCACAGCCAAACGACACAGGACCTGGGCACTGAAGAACATTCTGCTCAGTGATTCTAGGGCAATTAAGGCCGGATCCCAAACTTCATTTTCATGGCAGTTGTGTTTATATCTGAGAACTCATTTACATTCTTTCTGAAAATTGCATCTAAATACCTAAAATTAAATTACTAAAATCTATTACCTAAAATTACACTTATCAGAGTCCCGAATAAGGACATTTTAAAATTAAGAAATAAAAAAACACATCTAGGATGTGGAAGTGGACGTAAATGAATATTTACTCATACGCGCATGGCTTTCATGATGCGTGGAATTCAGACACAGTTTGCAAGTTTTAAGAGGGAGACCCGTGGTCCTCTCTGCATGTAACTGGCATGACTCCATGTTACAAAACCAGAGGGAGCAGAGTAGGGTTTGGCTTCACAGTGGGTTCACTTCCACTTAAAATGTCTTTAGAAGCAGTGACGTGCTAAAGCAACTTCTGAACTTTGGAGAGAACCATTTTACTTTATTTTCAAAAATGCATCATAGCTTTATTCTTACAGCTAAAAAAACCTCAGCAGAAATCCTGTTCTGATTTTGCTGGCAGGAAAAATATCTTCATTTTCAAAGTTAATTAAGGAAAAACTTTTTGGTTCTGCAGTAGATCAGACCGGCTCTTAAGTTATGATTTTTAACAAACTAACATCACCATGAAATAGCAAATTTTAGTGGTATTTGGGGTGGAGAGTTATGGAACTCACACCCCCAAAGCCCTGCTGGTGGGCAAATGGCCAACCACACGTTAAATTCATCTCTAGCCCTTTACCAGTTTCAGCTGCGTCTTTACGGAATGAAGACAAAGCTTAACAAAGAACCCGTAAAATGAAATGATGCAGACCAACCTTTTATTGCACCCACAATATTTTGGTCTAGTCCTTTCCGGTTGTCATTGAGTCCTCTTTTCCTCTTCCCATTGGGTAAGGAGTTAGCCAAAGTCTTGTCATCAAAAAACGCACACACCAGTTTTCTAAACAGAAGGCTCCCTGAGCGAGTGTAGTTTGACAATATTGAGTCCAGCTGAGATTTAGGCATGAACACGTCGAAGCCTTCAGCAAGCTGCACTTCTGGCTACCAAAAGAACATAAACGTGTCATTAAAAGCAAGATTTGAAGCAACTGACTTTGGGCGCAATGTGCAACAACAACAAAAACATCACTACTGATTGCAACATCCACAAATCCTGCAAACCGCATAGCCTCAGCTTTGTGTGCCAGGGTCTGCAACTTACAAAACCAATTACTAGTTATAATTCCCCAAACAGGATGCTCTAATGCCGATATTAAGTCCTTGTCCGCAGCAGTGGAAGGGAGTACGCTGTAAAAGCATTCCTGTCCTTAGAAACAGTCAAGAGAAAGCTGGATAATCACCAAAGCATTTAATTCTAGAGCTATAGAGGGGACTTGAGACTCCTGGGTGAAACATTTTCATTTTGTAAATGAAGGAAGTAGGGTGCCCAAGAGATCATAACAAAAATGACTTAAAAATAATTTACATGTACTCAGCACATTGCAGTTTACAGATCACTTTCTCCTACGTTAAATAATTTGATCTCATTTGCCCAAGGACACGAACACGGAGCTTGCCGGTAGGTTGCACGCTCTTTATACCAGGACCAGTGCTTTTTACCTATGCAACTGTATTTATCTCCTCCACTGAAGACTTGAGCCAACTAATACCTAAAATAAACAACACTGCCTAGCAGCTGCCCCAGGCAGTTTAAGCCCACCCCTGACCCCTGCATTTGGGAGGAAAATCTGTTGGGGATTTCCTGGCTGGGACACTGGATCA